ACCTCAGGAGGTCTCAGGCTGCAAAGCTAGTCAGGGATACCAGTGGCTCTGGGCACACAGAAGGGCACAAATAAACACTAAAAGCCTCTGGAAGGGAAAGCCTTGAAGCAGACAATATACCACTGGCTGACCCTCCCCAGCAGGAAAAGTAGAGCAGCACTGAGCCAGCGTCTGCTCAGTTGTGACTCACTGTCCTTTTCCCGTGTCTGGTGGATTCCAGTACTACAGGCCCTAGAAACAGACTGCACACCCAAACACCCCGTCATGGAGGAATTTTCTGGACTCATTTCTTTTTCTCTGTTTATTTTTCAGGATTTTTTTATATTTTGTTTTGCTCTTTGTTTTTTCCTTTTTTTTTTCCTCTCTTTTTCTTGTCATTTTCTAGTTGGTTTTTTTCTGTTACTTTTACCTAATTCTAATTACTTTTAAAATATTATTTAATGAGGTACTTGTCTCTCGTTTTGCTCTCCTTCCTTCTCATCTTCATCTCCTTTCTTTTTTAAAATTTTACTTCTTCATATTTCCCTCTTCCCACCCTCTCATTTTTTATTATTATTACTATTAATGTTTATTAACTTTCAGCTTCTTTGTTGATTGTTATTGATGTTGATTTCTTTTCCATTGTTTTGTTGTTTTTTGGTGGGTATTTACTATATGTCAATATCTGTGTCTGTTGATATTATTATTGATTTACTTGCTATTCTTAAGGGTGGTATAGTTGTCTTTAATTGTATTTAACTGTATGTCAATATCAATTTTCTCTTTGTGTCACCAACATTATTGTGGGTTTTTTCCTCTCTCACTGGTGCTAAGGATCAAGCCCTCAAAATAAGACTGAACACTAAGAAGACCCTCAAATAAAAGTGGAAGAGATATTTATCCCAACATATGCACAAATCTCAATATAAAAACGAAGAAAGTACAAGAAAACAAGGCAACATGACTCCTCCAAATTTCCGTAATTTGTCAGTAACTGAATGCAAAGATATCACAGTAACTGAAAGGTCAAAGAACACCAAAGATAAAATGATTCATGTATTTTAAAAGAATATAAATAAACACCTGAGTGAATTAATGAAGATGATGCAGGACATGAAAGAGCAATTCAAAAAAAAAAAGAGCAATTCAAGAAACAGAGATTCAGAAGAAAAACCAAACAGAAATTCTTGAAATGAAAAGCACAGTTAGTAAAGTGAGTATTTTCAGTGGAAAACTTCACTAAGAGACAGGACTAGGAAAAAAGCAGAACTTCAGGTCTTGAAGATAAGATTAAGGAATTAGCATACACAGACACTAATAAGGAAAAAACTAAGAAATTATGAAAAAAATCCAAAAACTCTGTGGGGCATAGTTAAGAAATGAAGTTTACAAATTTTTGGCATAGAGAGGGTCCCAAAGTATAGATTAGTGGCACAGAAAATCTATTTAGTGAAATAATAACAAGAAATTTACCAAATCTTAGAAAGATACAGTCATCAAGGTACAGGAAGCATTTAGAACCCCAAACAGGCATGACCAGAAAAGAAACTCCCAAAACATATTATAATTAAATTGGCAAGAGTATAAAATAAGAAAAAGCTATAGAAAATTGCAAGGGAAAAATACCAAATCATGTACAGAGGCAAAGCCATCAGAATAACTTCAGACTTTCCCAGGAAGGCATGGAACAATATATTTCAATCCCTGAAAGGAAATAACTGCCAACCAATATTACTATATCCAACAAAGCTATCCTTCAAAATTGAAGGAGAAATAAAGACCTTCCAAGATAAACATAAAGATTCATGACCACTATCAGCACTGAAGAAGATACTTAAAGAATCCTACATACAGAAGAAGGAAAATAAACTACTGAGAATTAAGAAAGAATTAAACATCAGAAAAAATGATAAAAATGATAGGAATTAGTACACATCTTTCTGTAATTACTCTGAGGGTAAATGATCTTAATTCTTCAATTAAAACACAGACTGAAACATTGGATTTAAAAACAAGACCAAGCTATTTTCTCCTTGTAAGAAACATACCTCAGTAGCAAAGACATGTACAGACTAAAAGGATGGAAAACAATATTTCATGCAGATTATAAAGACAAGCAGGAATAGCTATATTTATATCTGACAAGCAGATTTCAAATAAAAAATAGTCAGATGAGACAAAGAAGGTGACTACACACTGGTAAAAGTAACAATCCACCAAGAAAATATAACCATTGTAAAGATAAATGCACTAAACAGCAATGTATCAAATTTAATAAACACTGCACAAAATAAAGGAACACATCAGTTCCAATACAATAATAGTAGATGGGCATCAATACCCCATTCTCACCAACATATAGGTCATCTAGACAAAAAACAGAGACATATCAGAGTTAAACTATACCATTAGATCAGATTGACTTTACAGGTGTTTACAGAACATTCCATCCAACAACTACAGAATACATATTCTTCTCCATAGCTCATGGAATGTTCTCCAAAATAGATCATATTTTATGCCATAAACAAATTTTAATACAAAAAATTGGAATAATTCTTGCATGTTATCAGATCCTAATGAAATAGAAATATAAATCAACAGCAAGACAAACCACAGAAACTATACAAACACATAAAAGTTGATTAATTCACTTTTGAATGACCAGTGGGTCATTGAAGAAACTAGAGAGGAAATTTTAAAATTCCTATAACCAAACCTAAATGGAAATACAACATATAAGAATTTCTGGAATTTCCGGGATAGGCAAAGACCCTTCTAGGAGGGAAGTTTATAACTATGAATGACTACATCAAAAGATAAGAGAAATATCAAATAACATAATCATGCAACTCAAGGTCTTAGAAAAAAAACAATCCAAAATCAAAGGCAACAAAGTGGAAGAAATGATGAAAGATCAGGCCTAAAAGTAATGAGACAGAGACTAAAAGACCAATACACAGGATTAAAAAAAAAAAAAAAAACAAGACTTGCTTCTTTGAATTTATAAACAAGATTGGTAAACCCTTAGCCAAACTAACTAAAGTGTGTGTGCACATGTGCATGTGTGTGTGAAAGGGAGAGACAAAACCCAAATGAATACAATTAGAGATGAAAAGGGATGTAACAATAGACAGCCCTGAAATCCAGAGGATTATTAGGGACCACTTTGAAAATCTGTATTTTAATAAGTTGCAGAATCTAGAAAAAATAGATAAATTTCTAGACACATATGACCTACCAAAATTGAAATAAGAGGATAAAAAAACCTAAACAAATAAGTAGCAATGAGATTGAAGCAGTACCAAAATATCTCCCAACAAAGAAAAGTCCAGGACCAGATGGGTTCATGGCAGAATTTTTTAAAGAAGAACTAATAGCAATGCCCCTCAAACTATTCCATTAAGTAGAAAGGGAAAGAATGCTTCCAGACTCACTCTACAAGACCAATATCACCTGGATACCAAAACTAAACAAGAACACAACAGAAAAAGAAAAGTATAACCCAATATTCTTAATGAATATAATTACAAAAACCTTAATAAAATATTATCTCATTGGGTTGGGCCATCCTCTCCCACCTACTAAGACTCTAAGACTAAGACTGCGAAGATTAAAGACAAGGCCAAGACTATAGATCATCGACCAAGGTTAATAATGTCACTCATGTACCCTTGCTACCACTGGATCAATATTACCTAAGCAACCATACTTGCAATCTTATTGATTGACCCACACTGTACCCAACTCATTATTTTGCTCTATAAAACTTCCTTTGAGAGTTGGGCTCCTTGGCAACCCATTCAGGACCCCTCCTGTCTCTCAGGAGCTATTCCTATTCCCCATTCCCCATTCCTATTCTCCAATAAATTTTCCTACTCTTAAAAAAATTCACAAACAGAATTCAGCAATATGTTGAATAGATCGTATACCATGAGCAAGTTGGTTTCATTCCAGGAAGGTAAGGATAAGCTAATATATGCAAATCAGTAAATGTAATTCAACACATAAGTAGAATCCAGGATAAAAATCACATGATCAAGGTTAAGTGCACTTAGTAGCACACAAGGCAGGGAAAATGACGCGGGGAAACATTTTCTCTGTTCTCATGCTAAAGGAGTATACTGATTGGTAACTAAGCCAGTTCCATTTACTTTGCCATGGATATTGCCTGTTAGGAAGGGGAAGGAGACCTGTGGGTCCCTCCAACTTGGCCCAGCAATAGACTTTAGGCTATTGCCAGGCAGGACCGACACATTTGGAATAGTCTCCTAACCAGACGTGGAGCAGGGGGCTACTTGGCACCTGATGGAGCCATTTGGCCAGGCCTGAGCATCTCCTCTGAGAAGCCCAGAAAAGAACTGAGATGTTTATATACTGTATTTTGAAGAGATAATAAATGAAAAGTCAGTATGATGGAGTAAGAGGAGAAACCTTACTGGGGTAAGCAGATGCTGATTAAAATTGGAGATCTGGGAAGAAAACAAATTGTATTTGGCAGCATGAAAAGAAATGACTATATGTGTCAAGGTTAAAGAAGAATCTCCTCTGTCTGAGGTGGAGACTTGCTTTGGAATCTGAAGGGGAGTTACTGAGTGGACAGGAAAGAAAGAACCTTATGAATATAGAATGGAAAAGTGCAGCAGGGGGGTAGCTCAGTGGTAGGTGATTCCATCCCTGGCAACACACACACACAGAGAGAGACACACACACACAGAGAGAACTAAAACCCAAACAAAACAGAGTGGGAAAATGTGGTATGTATGATCCTAGTCGAAGTTAACACGGGGAGTGACAGAGAAAGCGGCTACAGAACTATACTGAAGAGGTTGGGGTTTTTTTATCTTCTACAATGACATAAATATTTTATCTTACAGCTCAATTCCTCTCAGTAAGGAGCAGCTTCCTAGAACACTGCATTGAGGTTTGTCACCCAATGCTAGACCTATGAGGAAGGATTAGTGATGTCTGCCCTGGGAGCGGGTTGGAGGTCCTCATGCTTCATGTCTGCCGTCTTGGTCCTTTAGTAAAGAACTATCAGAAGTTTCAAAGCAAACTAACTTTCTTACATGGAGAAACTGTGTGTATGTCACCGTGATTATTACAAAGGTAAAATGTACCTCGATATTTTTAAATTTCAAAACTTGTGTTGAAGAAGATAATTGTGTCAGCAGGTAATTGTGTCTTGAAGCTGCTTACTGATTTTTCAATGTACAAATATAGCTTTGTGTACCTACCAGAAACATAGCAGCAAGGTTAAATAACAGAGAAAACAAATTACTTCTGAGCTCTAGGAGTTCACAATCTAATAAGAGAGACGGGGAAGTAAATCAATCATCAGAGCTACAAGGGGGTAATTTGAGGATATTGGTGTAAGGTGAAAAATGACCCCCAAAAGAGACTCATATCCAATTCTTAGAAGTTGTAAATGTTACCTTATATGGCAAAGAAAAAAGAAAGGAGGGGAGAGGGAAGGAAAAGAAAGGAAAGGAAGAGGAGGAAGAGAAAGGGAGGGGACAAGAAAGGGAAGGAAAGGGAAAGGAAAAGAAGGGGAAAGAGAACAGAAAGGTCTTTATAGATGTGGTTAAGGTGAGGATCATTGAAGGTTAACCTAGATTACTGGGGTGGGCCTTAAATGCAATCACGTGTGTCCTTATAAAATGAAAGCAGAGGGAGACTGGACAATAAACAACACAGAGAAATGTGACCACAGAGGCAGAGAATGAAGTGATGCACCCACAAGCCATAAGGCCAGGAATGCTGGCAGCCAGCAGAAACCAGAGCTGGAGGAGACAAAGATCATATTTGCTCCTGTAGTCTATGCAGAAAGCATGATCCTACCAATACCTTGATTTCAGCCCAGTGATAACAACCTCAGCCTCTGGCCCTTTAAAACTGTGACCAAATAAATTTATATTTTTTAATCCAAACAATTTGTGATAGTGTATTAAAACAGACATAAGCAACTAATATAGATAATCTTAAACATTTATGGAGGAGTGGCTTATTGAGAATTTTTGGGTCAAGCCTAGAAATAGATTCCATTCTGATTCTGAAGGGTTATGGGGTTGAAATGAGGGCACTTGTACTGAAGGCTCAAAGGATCTAAACGGGCCAAACTCAGAAAGTGAGGACCCTCCCCACACACACAGAAAGCTCCAAAGGCAAAAGGAAGAAATAAATCCTTCTAGAAGGCAGCTATCCCAAACACTGAGAGTAAGAAATGCATTCTAACCATCTCCTTTGTCTTCATGTCCCCAAGACATGGTCCAGAATTCCAGAAAGTATACCCTGATCAGATGAGACTCAAACTACCAAGAAGTGAGAGACGAAGAATGCCCCCGCCCTGGAAGAGAAGTAAGGAATCCCACCAACACTCCAAATTCAGTTAAAAAACAGAAACAACCACAACAACAAAGATCCACACCAAGAGACACTTCATGCAGTCGTGGGTGGCTTTGGGGGAAAAGTGGTATTTAAGCCAGAACCTGAAGAAAAAGTGATATAAAGCCAGAACCAGCCACACATATCTGTAGAGTTCCATTCTTTTACATGCATACACTCACCCACACACAGACATACTCAAGTAAGCCCACGTATGCTAATCTCTCAGCTGACATGCTTGGTGCTAAGCAGTTCGTCAGCCCTGTCTCACATTTTCACACCTCATTACGGTGTTCCTGACCACAAAGAGTGAAATCAGTCCAAAAGGAACTTGAGAAAGAGGAAGGATGATATGGGGTTGAAGCTGAAAGATAAAGCCAGGGATATAGCTCAGCAGTACAAGTGCCTGCCTGGAAGCGAAAGATACTACATGTAGTCCTTCAGGACCTCGTGTACCTATTTCCTTAGGACTTTAATTTGGAGTTCCCCCCATGCCCTGGGCACTAAGCACAAACAGTGCCATGGCTGCCACTAATGAAATGTGTATTATATTGCTTAGCAACCGTGTGCTGTTTATCTGACTAACTCCTTGCCTAGACACATATGAGTATAACTTGAGAGCTCTGAGAAATGTAATTGAGTCAAAATTCTACTTTGATGAGATCAGGAAGAATAAAAACATTACCTATCTAAGTGGTTGCCCACAGTTCCTGAAACAAAGCAGAGTTCTAGGACCTTCAGGTGAGATGACTCAGAAGACTGAGCAGAGGATGTGAGGATAATGGCCAGTTTCCAGAACAAACTGGAAATAAACCCTTTTAACATCATCCTTCCAGAGGCCTGAGGAGTCTCTGTCAGCCTGGGGACCAGGGTAGGTCTGAGACGATCAGACACAGTGTTAGACACCATCAATCCTTTTCCATTATTCTTTTTTTTTTGCAGTTTGCTAGTACATGTGTGTAGTACATGGTGTGTACATTCCTGAGGGAAGTTGGTACATGCACATAAGATGCTCCAATTCCGATTTGCATCCTCTGTCCCTTCCCTCTCTCCCCCTCACCCATCCCTTGATCCTGTGTGTGTGTGTGTGTGTGTGTGTGTGTGTGTGTGTGTGTTTGCAGTACCTAATGCTTACATTCCCTGTGTGGGGAAGAGGATCTTCTCCATTATTCTTAAACTAAGCCTTTAAACCTAGAACTTTCCTGGGGAAAATGTAATATTCATGTTCTATGGATAACATTAAAAACAAATTTATGACAAAAAATGTTTACTGAAATGTTTAGCTAACAGGTACCCAACAGATACGCCATATTTCTATGACTATGAGTAAACCCATAAATAAGCAATTTTCATTTAGACCACTGGAATCTGCCATCTTCTTCCCACAGGCTGTCCCTGAGAGCCTTGGTCTGTCTCTTCTTGTCCCATCATAAGGGGAAGAATAATCAGGGGAGAGGTGAAATGACAGTCCTGCCACTAGGAGATCACATGCCCTAAGCAACTCCTCAAGCTCCAGATTCCTTACCTGTAAACTGGGCAAAAGAATGGTATATCACAGGACTGTTCTGGAAATTTAATGAGATACTATACGTGAGCACTTATCACTGGCTAGCCTATAAAAACACTCAGTAAGTAGTAACCATCTTGTACCAGGTTAGAATCCTAGTTATATCACTTACCCTCTGCTGACCTTGTCCAAAATACATCACCTGAGCTTCTGTTTCCTTCTCTGTACAAGTGTGAAAAAATGCCTATCTTACAAAACTCTTGAGAATATTAAGTAAGATAATATATATAAAAGAGTCTGGCACAGAGTGAATGTTGATTAATTTATCAGTGGGAACAACTTTTTTGGTCCTACCCATTATTCCCTCTCATGTAAAGTTAATGCTTGGATAGTTAAGGTCATTGGCCCCTTTCCTCCACAAAAGGACAAATTCCTCTAAATGACTAAGACTTCTATAAGGAATTCAAGGAGAGAGACTCTTCTATAGCTTGATATTTGAGTTCCTGACACACAATAGATACAAAATAAAATCAAAGGGCCGGGGATAGAGCTCAGTGGCATAAGCACCTGCCTGGCAAGTGTAAGGTCGTGAGTTCGATCCCTAGTACAGCAAAAAAAATAAAATAAAACAAAATAAAATTTTTAAAAATTCTCCTCTGTCTGACTTCTTAGCCTCCACTATCTTCCAATAGTCCCCTTACTCCAACTCATTCTGTTTCTTGAGAATCTCATTTATTGATAGTGATTATTCATTTATTGGTGGTGGGTAGTTAGAGTGTCAACTTGATTGGTTTAGGGGGCCCACCCAGGGGATTGGTGGAGTACACTTCTGGGTGTTTCTGGGTGGATCATAGAGGCATGACCTTGAGTACTAGATGGTCCCTGGCCAGTTTCCTGGCTGATACTGTTCCCCGGGTCTGCTTCCCAGCCACCATGAACTAAACATCTTTGCTCTGTCATGCCCTTCTGCCATAATGGTTCTGCCTTGAAGCCTGCCAACCATGGACTGAACCTCCAGAAACTGTGAACCAAATTAAACCTCTTCCCCTTTAAACTAAGAGCATCAGGTATTATGTTCCAGCAATAGGAAGGCTGACTAATACAGATGGATAAAGGGTAGAAAACACAATGTTGACAACAAGGATTACATTCTGAAAACTATAGTTTTCTTTCTGACTATTAGTAGTAAGAGAACATTTTAAACTTTTTCTTAGTGGGATATGGTGGTTCATGCTTGTAATCCCAGCACTCAGGAGGCTGAGGAGGATCGCTGTGAGTTCAAGGCCAGCCTGGGCTACATAAGCAAGTTCAAGGCCAGTCTGAACATAGCAAGACCCTGCCTCAAAAACAGAACAACTTTTTCCTTTAAGTTAATAGTTATTTAAACCTATTTAAGTTGTTGGGTTGGAGGGGAGGCTAGTTCATGCGCTCCAAAAGTACACAAATTATAAAAAAAAAATACAACTTCAACTCAGTTAGCATGGCAGTAAATTTACATAGCTTGTAAATTAAAAACTACATATGGAGAGTACATACCTAAAATTTTTCATGGGTTTATAGCTTACACAATTAAAAAAACTGTAGGTCATTGATTTAAATCACGTATTTTATGTCACAATTTGCCATTATTTTTATATCCAGAAATCATCATATTTTAACTTCCTTATGTATGGAAAGAGTGTATAGAAATATCCATATAAAAACTAGAGAGACTTTTTTTTTTTTTTTGCACGCGGTACTGGGGATTGAGCTCACGACCTTGTGCTTGCCAGGCAGGCGCTTATGCTGCTGAGCTAAATCCCCAGCCCTAGAGAGAAAGATTTTAAAGCCCCCAAGCTTTTACCAGCAAAGGGAAAGAAGAAAAAAAGAAGTTACAGGAGAGGAAAGAAAAACCAGGGGATTAAATTCTTAAAATCTTGGGATGATTAAATCATCCCGTGCATCCTCCTTACATTTCTATGACTACGTTAAACGTAGCTAACCCATGTTAAGTATATTCAACACTCAAATGTTAAACATATTTAAGGCTCATTTTGGTTGTCTGATGTAGCATCATAGACAAACACTTGCTAACAACCGAGATAACGACAAGCAGTTTTCTAACACAAAGCTCAGTGTGGGCCCAGGCAAGTATTTGACTTGCCGCTCTCTTTACCTGTTAGCTCTTCCTGGCCTTTGACCCCAGCCAGTCCCCTGGCCATCTGCCCGGAGGTTGTCACAGTGATTCATCCTGGTGCCCTCTATCTGTCCATTCTTTAAAGAGGTATTAAATCATGACAGGCAGCCTCAAGGCTGCCCTGGGCTTGTGTTAAGCAGTAGAACATTAGTTCAAATTGCCTAACCAGAGTAGTTTCACAAGGTCTTCTTTATAGTGGAATGTTTCTCATTACACATTTTTTAGATTTCCTCCACTTCATTATTGGAGCGTTTTTTCATCTTCATTCATTCATTCATTCATCTGTCCAGCCACACAGGGCTGTATTTAGGTGCAGTATCTATTACCTAAACCTGCCCCAGGTTGGTGGACGCTGCCACTCTAAGGCAGCTGCTGCCCAGTAGTCAAGGTCCTCAGGACCCATGGAAGCTGGCTGGACGTACATCGTATGGGAAGCGTCCCCTTTCTGTTATCTCAATGAGCGCTCCCCATAAAGCAAGCATCCATGACTCAGCCCCAGGCCTAATTGTCTGGCCAAGTGATGACTGACTAAATAGCTTCTCAGACTTGTGACCCAGGATCCAGTGCCACGGTGAAAGAAATGCTTTCTTTTCATTGGGGCTTTAGGGCTAAAGGCTTAACCAGCTGGTAAAATTTAAAAGATTTAGATATAAATCCAATCTTCTATTTAAGTAAAATTTCAAATTGTTTGTTACTGTTAAAAGGTTTTTATGATTCCTTAACATCATATGAAGGCTCTTCTTAAGACCTACTTGATGGGGGCCAGGGATTGAGCTCAGCGGCACAGTGCCTTGCTTGGCAAGCACAGGGTCCTGAGTTCAATTCCCGGTACGAGAAAAAAAGACCTGCTTTTTTTTCCCTACTAGCCTCTTACATGTGGATTTCTGCTGTTCCAGAACATTTCTATTCTCTGACACCTTGAATCCTGACTGCATCTGTCCAAATATACCCAGTCACTAATCAAAACCTAACTTATATCACACATCCTCTAAGGCTTTTGTGTTCATGGCGCATATTGATCTCCTTCTTTTCCCCTTATCTGTAACAAGTCTATTCAATTTATGCTGCTTTGTGCTGCCCTCTGACGCCACAGGGAAATCTGGAACGAGCTGATTAGGAACTCGTATTTCATCACTCCACACCAAACCCAGCATCCAGTATAAAAGCCATGTATTTATGAAGTCATGTTCAATCAGTACAGCTGGAACTATATCACTGAGGTTGCCTGATTCCATGTTCATCAGAGGTGTGCTACTGTTGCCACAAACACATTTAACTGAGTCACCCGCGGAGCCCGGATGCAGAGACAAGCAAGTTTATTAGCCGGCAGTGGGCACCCAGTACATGACTGAGCACCAACCCCGGAGGGGAAGGTAAGGGAATATTTATACAGCTCTAGTTCCGGGTCTAGTTCCGGGTCTGGGCGGGGCAGTGACTAGGTTTTTCTTTCTGATATGATTTAGTGCAGCGACAGAAATACTCCTACAAAGCATGGGCTGAGCTTGTGACAAAGGAACAAAGGTGTTTGACATTTCACTTAGGGAACAAGCAGTCTTACGACAAACCATGGGGTGATATCCGGCTAGGTAACTATGACAACACTGACAAGAAACAACTTAAGGAAACAGAAACTTAAGCTTTAAAATGGCCCTGGAACATAAAATGGAGTTGGTTCAGTCCTCCTTCCCATATCACTACGATGCCAAGAAGAAACTTGATGTTCTAGAAGAAAAAATTTGTTTTCTAATCTGAACCTCCCTATATACTAATAATAGCACCCATTTGCTGAACTTTATTTAATTTTAAAAAGAAAAGTATGAAGATTAATGTTATGATGTTTGTCACATTTATTTCGGATTGAATTTTCTAAGAAATGAAGTGTTTCAAGTATACTGCCCTGTCTTAATTACTTTTCTCTTTGCGGACACAAAATAGCCAACACCCAAAGTTAAAGGAGGAAAGGTTTACTTAGCTCACAGTTTGCAGAGGACGGCTCCAAGGCACGGTGGCATGGCAGAGGGGCATCACAGAGGAGAAAAGTCAGTGCATGGCGTGGAAGGCGGCGGGCAGGAGGCAGGAAAAGCAGCAAGTGACAAGTGACAAAGGCAGCCCTCCTCCTGTCCTTTACGTTCTGTACAGGCTACACACTTTGCAACAGGTAGCACTCACACCCAGGGTGGGCCAGAACTACACCCAGAACTATGCCAAACCAATCAGTGGACTGACTTAGTAGTCACACACCCTTGATCGCAGCATCACACACCCCAGATCCAGTCATCTCTGAAAAGCCCATCTGACTGCAGGAGGCTCTGGGGGACATCTAGACACAAGCACATCCACTTTCCCTATTTCCCACTCCCATTATTCTCCCTCCATAGTCACTGGCATCCACTGTCTTGAAACTGAATTGTCCCGTCCATGTCGTTTTACGTTCCTTACACATACATACCTTTTGTGTCGTGTACTTGACAGGCTTGGCACTTACACAAGTACTGCTAGGGAAGCTCTCTTGAAGAAAAATATTTCAATAATGCAAATATAAACTTAGACTGAAACAGAAACCACAACTACATAATTACTTGAGCTTTAGATGTGCCAGCCCCTTCTTCTGAGAGGGCTTGGACAACTCTAAACTGCTTCTATGGAAATGACTTCCAGGTTGCTGCCTGGCCAGTGAGGGGCCCTGAAGCTGAAGCAGCCTCCGGGCAGAGACGGGACCTGATCCAGACTGGCTCTTCTTCAAAGCTCAGATCTCAGGTGGCATCTGGGAGTCCCGTCGCTCAGAGGCCTGGCACAGAGCTCCACACACATCAGGGAGTCGTGCCCTTGTAAACCGCCCATCTGAAGCACTGTCCTCAGATCACACAACTGACTTTCCTCATAACACCTATTATCTGCAATTACATCTCTATGTATGTGAGCGTTTACTGTCTGTTTCTCCCTCTAGAACACAAACACGAGATCAGGAATTTTGTCTCTCTTTACTCCTTATTGCATCCTCAACATTTGGAACACAGCCTAAGCATAATTCATAGTCTTAATAACATCTGCTGAATGAAGGAAGTAACAAATGTTGGCTAAATGCAGAAAATATTTTTGTTTTACAATAGATCAATGTGTTGGGAGTGGTGGCACACACCTGTAATCCCAGCACTCAGGAGGCTGAGGCAGGAGGATCA